CGACAGCAGCGACGCTGCTGTGGCTGCCCAGCCACGACAGGAGGTCGTTGTGCGCACAGTACGAGAGGTCAGCTGCACCAGTTGGCCGACGCTGACTCGCACCAACTATGGCAAGTGGGCGGTGACCATGAAGGTTAAGCTCAGAGCCCGATGGTTCTGGAATGCTGTTGATAAGGACACCGACAACGAAGACTGGAATGCTATTGACAAGGACACTGACAACGAAGAAGACGATATGTCAGCGTTGGAGGCTATCTTGGCTGCTATGCCAGCGGAGTACAGTGAGCCGTTGGGGGCGAAGAACTCTGCTAAGGAGACGTGAGAGGCCATTACAGCGATGCGCGTCGGTTCCGACCGCGCAAAGAAGGCAACGGACCAGCTGCTGAAGCAGTACGCCAACCTCAAGTTCAAGGATGGTGACTCGGTGGAGGACTTCTCCCTCCGCCTGCAGACGCTCATCAGCAAGCTGAGGAGCCACGGCGTCACCATCGTCGAAGAAGAAGCGGTCTCCAAGTATCTTCACTCCGTGCCGATGAAGTACATCCATATCGCTCTCTCCATAGAGACGATGCTGGACTTATCCACCCTCACCATTAAGGATGTGACAGGCCGTCTGCGGGCGGTGGACGAGCGCTTGGAGCAGGCAACAGCAACGACGGACAGCGACAAGCTGGTGTTGACAGGTGAGGAGTGGGCTGCCCGGAGGAAGAAGTCCGGGGAAGCCTCCTCCAGCTGCGGTGACGATGGCAAGCGCCGCGGCAAGGCTTCTTCGAAGAAAAAGAAGGTCGACCCCTACGCCTGCCGACGCTGCGGGAAGACGGGCCATTGAACAAAGAAGTGCCCAAATCACAGGCAGAAGAAGGTTGATGCTCATCTGGCGTAGGCTGATGATGACGACGTTCTATGCACTGCATGACATTGAGACCAAGGAGAAGAGAGAGGGGATGGTGGTGAAAGGGTCTAGGAAGGCTCTGAAGGCTGTCAACCTCAACGACCCGTGGGCCCAAGTCCACCTCGGACGTGTTGACGGTGGATAGGAGCAGCAGTGGTACCTGGACTCCGGCGCTAGCAACCACATGATAGGCTCCAAGGCAGCCTTCTCCGAGCTCGACGACGATGTGACCAACACGGTAAAGTTCATTGATGGCTCAAGGGTGGCGATCCAAGGGCGCGACCATCATCTTCAAGTGCCAGAACGGCGAGCACCACGCGCTAACGGATGTATATTACATCCCACAGCTGTATTTAAGCATCATCAGCATTAACCAGCTGGATGAGCGCGGCAGCGAGGTACTGATCAAGGACAGCGTCCTTAGGATCAGGGACCGAAAGCAGCGGCTGCTTGCCAAGGTAAAGAGGTCCCGAAATTGGTTGTACCTGCTCGACCTCAAGGTGGAGCAACCCATCTGCTTGGCTGCACGGCGCACGAAGGAGCCGTGGCTGTGGCATGCCCGGTATGGACATCTCAGCTACGACGCTCTTGATCGGCTGAAGAAGATGGTGACTGGGCTGCCTCACATCGAGCACGCAGCGAAGCTATGTGATAGCTGCCTAGCCAGAAAGCAAAGAAGATTGTCGTTTCCGAAGACGACAAAGTACCTCGCGGCAGAGACCCTCGAGCTGGTCCATGGTGACCTTTGCAGGACGATCACACCGACGACGCCTAGTGGGCGCAAGTACTTCATCTTGCTGGTGGATGACTGCAGCCGGTACATATGGCTGCAGCTTCTGACCAGCAAGACCGAGGCGACGAAAGCGGTCAAGCAGTTCAAGACGCGTGCGGAGGCAGAGAGCGGCAAGAAGCTACGTGTGCTGAGGACTGATCGTGGCGGCGAATTCACTTCGGTGGAGTTCGCTGCGTACTACGCGGATCAGGGTGTGGTTTGACACCACACCGCGCCGTACTCGTCACAGCATAATGGCGTGGTGGAGCGGCGGAACCAGACAGTTGTCGGCATGGCTCGATCCATGATAAAGGCCAAAGGAATGCCGACAAGGTTCTGGGGTGAGACGATGACCACGGCGGTGTTCATCCTCAACCGCGTGCTCACCAAGACTCTGAAAGGTAAGACGTCGTTCGAAGCTTGGTATGGACGCAAGCCGAGCGTGTCCTTCCTCCAGACATTCGGCTGCATCGGCCACGTCAGGAAGACGAAGCCGGTCCTCACCAAGCTAGAGGATAGGAGCACATCGATGGTGCTCCTGGGCTACGCGAAAGGTACCATGACGTACCGGCTCTACGACCCACACGGAGGCAAGCTGGTTGTCTCGCGACGACGTCGTTTTCGGCGAGAAGGAGACCTAGGATTGGGACAGTCCAGCACGGGGAAGGCGGCGGCTTCACCAAAGACCTTCGTCGTCGAGCACTTGGTCATCCACAGTGGTGGAGACGCTGGAGTGAAGGTGTCGACCACTCCAGCAACAGAGCCGAACACTCCTAGGACGGTGCCGAGCACTCCAGGAGTGGCGCCGAGCGGTCCTGCGGTGGTGCCAACAACTCCAGGACGGGTGCCGAACGCTCCCGTAGCGGAGCCAAGAGGTCTTGTAGTGGTGCCGAGCACTCCAAGACTGGTGCTGAGGACCCCTACCGTGGTGCCAACCACTCTAGGAGTGGTGACAAGCAGTCCAGGAGTAGTGCCGAGCACTGTAGCTGGAGTGCCGAGCACTCCAGGTGCTATGCTGACCACTCCGGCGGAACAGGGGACTCCATCGACGTCGATCGAGTTCGCCTCACCTCCAAACGACATCACTAAGTTCGTGAATGCCTTCCACAATGGTGAGGAGGTGCGGTTCCGCAGGCTGTACGACATCATCGACGACATAGGGTCCTTAGGTCTGGCGGGTCGGCTGCTCAATGACCCAGAGAAGCTTCTCGTCAGTGCAGAGGAACCACCCACGTTCGCGCTGGGCGAGCGCGATGCAAATTGGCGACGGACGATGCTGGAGGAAATGAAGGCGATCGAGGAAAACAAGACTTAGGAGCTCGTCGTTCCGCCTCCAGGATGTCGTCCGATCGGACTAAAGTGGGTATACAAGGTCAAGCAAGACGAGCGCGGCGCCATTGTCAAGCACAAGGCGCGCCTCGTCGTCTGAGGCTTTGTCCAGCGCAAGGGCATCGACTTCGAGGAAGTCTTTGCGCCGGTAGTGCGCACAGAATCTGTCCGACTGTTTCTGGCTTTGGTAGCAGCGAAGGACTATCGCGACCATCACCTGGACGTAAAATTGGCATTCCTCAACGACGAGCTGGCGGAGACGATCTTCGTCAGGCAACCTCTGGGTTTCATCAAGGGAGCAGAGCACAGGGTACTCCAACTGCGCAAGGCACTCTACGGACTGCGACAGGCCCCACGAGCGTGGAACACCAAGCTTGATGCCACGCTGGGCGAGATTGGGTTCACGCGGTGCGCAACCGAGCACGTGCTCTACACGTGATGACAGGGAAAGGAGGCACTCACGCTCGGTCAGAGCGCGTACACCTCGAAGCTGTTGGAGCGGAGCGGCATGGCTGAGTGCAAGAGCGGCGTGACTCCGATGAAGGAGCGGCTGAAGTTGACGTAGGCCAGTACCGCGGCGAAGATAAATACAACACTCTACCGGAGCATCGTTGACGGTCTGCGCTACCTAGTCAACACGAGGCCGGACATTGCGTTCGCCATGGCCTATGTCAGCCGTTTTATGGAGGATTCCCAAGAGGATCACTGGGCTGCGGTAAAGCAGCTGTTGTGCTACGTCAAGGGAACGATGGATCAGGGGATCATCTTCCCCAAAACCAGTGAAAGTAGGCCGCAGCTCACTGTGTTCAACGATGCAGACATGGCGGGGGACATCGACGAATGACGGAGCACCTCTGGCGTGCTCGTCTTCCTCGGGCCGGCTCCAATCTCATGGTTGTCGCTGAAACAAAAGGTGGTGACGCTGTTCATGTGCAGCATGGCAGCCTGACATGTCTGTGCACTAGGATTAAATGTGTAGAGTTACATATATAGCTTCCCACTGTAACTCAGTAAAAAGAGCGAGTTCAATTTTGTCATCTCCTCTGCAGAGCTCCGGCCAACGCTGATGCTTGTGTTGTGTGTGTGCGCTCTGTTCTTCCTCCCTTCTTTTACCTCTAACCATAGTGTGTGGTCGGCAACGCCGGGGAGTGGTCGGCTCACCCGTTCCGAAGATCTAGGGGCCAACAAGCATCATATCAGACAAATGTGCATGTCTAATTTATGAATCCTTTCAGAGATAATGCTAACCATGTTGGTTGTTGATACTCTCATACAGATAGAATAAAGGAACTAAGGAAGCAACTTATGATGCTAGTTGTGTGCACTAGTTGCTGCCGTGATGCAATGCAAGTTCTTGTTGCACTCCTTATCCTGGCCCCATTTGGCTTGCTGAAACTTGGCTGAATTGGCTGAAAAACACTGTTCTGGCTGAATTGTTATGAGAGAAAAACATTGTTCCGGCTGAAAAAACAAGCTGAATAGTGCGGATTATAAGTTAAGCCGAACGGGTCCCTGTCGGCATCAACAAAGTAATGCTGTACCGATTTGTTTGTGAACTAATCCACTTGTTTCCGCTAATTTGATGAAACAGTCCAATGAATGCAACAGGGACCGAGCGAAGTGGATGTACAACCGCCGCAGCCTAGTTCATCTAGGCATCTACTGATATGATAGGGCTGCAAGCTTCCAAAGAAGAACTAAATGTCAAAAACTGATCTATATAGTTTCTAGTGGTCGTATCAGTTCAAACGACGACAAGGTTTCTTCTAAGAAACCAAATCAGGACAACTTGATATGCTCCAACTTGGGACGCAATAGATAAGTCGGCTGAAGCGCTAAAGGAAATGATCACGCGTACAATTCAACGCGGTTAAACTAGCACTTGTGATAGTGTATCGCAATGAAGATCATATGTATACAGAAACCTTTGCATTCCAATTTACCAATAACAGAAACTGTACACTGACCTGGAAAAACACTTTACTGTAGTGTGGACCTGTGGCGGTCTTATGTTCCAGTTCCATCAAAGGATGATGGTAGGTCGGTCCCCAAAGCCGGCGCTGCAGTGCCACTCAGTAGCTCTTGAATCTCATTCACTTGTACCATCTGTGGTCCATAGCCAAATAAACTTGGCACCTGCAAGGATTTTGGGACCCTGAGATAAGCTTGGTGATTCAGAGGAACATGAAGGATTTGTGAAATTACGACAATAACCTGTGGCGGTGTTGACAGTGCATCATTATCATTAGGATGAAGGAAGGGATTTCTCAGCAGGGCCATGCGATTCCGTTGAGCTTGGTCTGTTACACTGGGTGCATTGGTAGGAGGGGGAGGGGGTAAGATCTGAGGCATCTGATTCGACAACGGGTTGTTCATGAAGGGTGGTGTTACCCTCTGCATCTGGCTCAGGAACTGCACAGCTGGTGGTGGCATCCACGCGGAATTCAAGCCCATGGTCATCGGAGGCATGAACTGGTGAGCACCCAGGATCATCATCGGCGCCATCCCAGTAGACATCCACATGATCTGAGGAATGGAAACATATCGGTATACATGCCGAGATGACGGAAGTGATCAGGAAGGTTACAATGCAGTATATATGCAGACCAGACCAATTGGGAAGTGTATTTTTTCAGACCTGAACTTGCATTTGGAGGGACTTCAAGTACTCAATTGCCTCATCTAGTATCGACGCTTTGTCGGTCTGAGCAATCGTCGGAATCAGCACAGCACTACTGTTAGAACAGAATCAAATTGCACAAAAGCACCTTGTTGCAGTGCTAGAAACTGTTTCTTCACCTTGTTGCATTGAGGCACGAGTTCCTGCAGAGCTCGCATCTTTTCGTTGATTCGGTCCCTTCTCCTCTGCAGCATACATCAACCAAATCAAGAACACAACCATGGTATATAGCTGCAAATGGCGTGGCCAGGTGGAGGTCTCAAGACTTACCCGCTCCGACCTGTTGTGGACCTCGGCGGCGCGAGTCCTGCGCTTGTTGGACGCAGGCCGCCTCGACGACGGCGGGGTCTCGTCGACGGTGTCGAAGTCGGCGTCCTGCAAATGCGTTTCTTTTCTCTCACGAACTGAAGCGGAATTTTATGCAATCTGAACTGAACCCATTGGCAGGAGCAACAGAGAACGAGGAACACAACCTCGTCGAACTCGTCCCTGCTCCTCTTGGGCAGCGCATTGCTGTTCCGGCCGATGGACGTGGACGCGCCGGCGACGGCGCCCGCGGCCGCCCGGTCGTCCAGCTGCATCGGCAGCGCCACCGCGGCGACGCCGACGTCGTCGATGTCGTCGTCCAGGTGCAGCGCCGCGGCGACGAGGTTGCTGCCGCAGAAGCTGGAGCCGACCTCCCCGGCCGTCCGGCTGGACCCGGCGCCGCTGTTCCCGCTCTTGGCGGGCGGCCGGGCCACGCCCACGCCCGAGGCGTCGGCGCCCACCATGCGGCCGTCGGCCTGCACGATGCTCTGCCAGAGCTGCGAGTACACGTCCCCGCCCAGCGCCCCGCCGCTGCACGGGAGCCACGGCAGCGCGGGCGCCTGCTCCCCGGTGACGCCGCTGGCGCCCGTATTGCCGGCGCCGGCCTGGACCAGCGGGTGCCGGTGGTGGTGGTGGTGCGCCTGCGCCACGACTGCGCCGTCCTGCCACAGCAGCTCCACGAGCTCGCCGTCCGGGCTGCGGTTCGTTCCACGCGAACGGGGGAGGGTCAAGTCAGGGACTCGAACGGGGCGCGGATAACGAAACGCAAGAAAGCAAATGGGAACTCTGGTTACACGAAAGGGGCAGCCTTGTGGCTCGTCGCCGGTCTCTCGCCGCCGTCCATGGCGAGCAGACACTTCCTGGACCCGGAGGCGCCCAGATACCTGACGCACATACCGGATCCCCGTCAGTCAGTCACGAGATGGATGGATGGCACAGAAGAAGCAGCGGAGGAAGAGACAGATAAAACAACTACTACTACTAGTGTGATCAATCAACGAGGTGAGCTCTGACCTGCTTGCAACCTCTTGTATAGATGGATGGATGGAGCTCTGCTGCGCTGCAACTGCAACTTGTATGTCGTACGAATAATGGATAATACCAGCGGTGCTCCGATCGGAGGCGCCGGCGCCGCAAACTGAAACCCGTGGGTTCCTTCTGCTTGGATTGGAGAGAGGCGCAGCACAGTCTCTCGGAGCTCCAGCATTTGTATGGAAGGGAGGAGGAGTTGACATCGCTGTCGGGATCTTTGGGCCGGGACTCATCGCTCTCACTCGCCCCTCGGAATCGGCAACTTGGACGAAGATTTTACTCAGGCTGGTTTAGTTTCTTCCCTACGTGCAGAGTGCATTAGATATACACTAAAAAATAATTAATTATATAGTTTACGATCAATTTATGAGATAAATTTTTTAAGGCTAATTACAGCCCCCTGTTCGGCGGGTCGTAAATGATTGTGGATTATTTATTGCTGGCTAATTTAGTGTGAGAGAAAAATATTATTCCAGCTTATAATCCACGATCATGTACGAGCAAGCGAACAGACCGTTAGTCTATAATTTGAAATGTGATGCTACAGTAACACATGCGCTAATGATGGATTAATTATGCTTAATAAATTTGTCTCGCGGGTTTCTGACGGATTCTGTAATTTGTTTTTATTAGTATGCGAATATCTTATGCGACACCTTATATAATTTTCGATGTAACACCTTAAAATTTTACACCCTAGATTTAAACAAGACCTCACTTTCTCCTGTCCTCTATGGCCCTGTTCGGTAGGACTGAAAAATACTGTTCCGGCTGATTGTTGTGAGAGAAAAATACTGTTCTGGCAGGACGTGAATAGTGATTCTGTGAGAGGAAAAATAAGCCAGCTGGCTGGAAACAAGCCAGCCGAACAGGGCCTATAGTGCAGCGCTGCTGCAGGAACAACAGCGCCATCACTCTGCCCTTGTCAGGCCTTGTTTAAATTCAGGTGTAAAGTTTTGGATGTTACATCGGGTGTTATATGGGATGTCTCATATGTTATTCGGATACTGATAAAAAACAAACTACAGAATCCGTCACTAATCCACGAGACGAATTTATTAAGTCTAATTAATCCGTCATTAGCACACATGTACTGTAGCACTATGTTGTCAAATCATAGACTAATTATAAAAGATTTGTTTCGCAAATTAGTCGCAAACTGTGTAATTAGTTATTTTTTAGTCTATATTTAATATTCCATGCATGTGTTAACCATTCGATAGGATAGGGAGTAAACTTTAGGAGGGAAAAATTAAACAAGTCCTAAGCGAATTAATATCTGTTTCTGGATCAGGCTTGGATTCAATTTGATGTCAAATTTGAAAATCTGAACAAGTTGGAACTCGTACTACGAATTCGGAACAGCTTGGGACCAGGTTCGGACGTTGGACGTTTTTCGCAGAGTTCGACCGTCCGTCGTGTACCGGCAACAGCGCAAGTGTGCCAACTGGACACCTACAATCGTACACACAGCTCTTTCACACGGTGTATGTAGCCAAATACTCCCACGTACTGTTGATTTCATTTCTTCCTTTTTCCTGTCGCTTTGCTAAAACTTTGCTGCAGCTTACTGAAATTTACGTGTCTATGATACTACTCCGTCCGTCCAAAAACAAATTCTCACTTCCTGAAATATCAAACAATTTCTTAGTTCAACCAAATTTATATGAAAAAAATTACATACCAAATACTCCCTCCGTCCTAAAAAATTGTTGTTTATGAAGAATCTGCACATGGGGGAGTAAATATTATTAGCTTAGTTATGAGCTATGTTTTCATAGTAAACTTATTTGAAGACATAAATGTTAATCTTTTTTTTCTACAAACTTGGCCAAACTTTAGAAAGTTCAACCTACCCAAAATCTAGAATTACATTCTTTGTTGGACATACGAGTAATTTAGGAACTCTTTCGGTGCTTGGGCGCGGCTTTTGGACAATAAGTAACATAAATATTTTTTTAAAAAAAAACTACACGTAAAAGTGATTGTAACTCGTGTATAAGTTAGTTGTAATCTATTAACTTAGTATTTGATCTACAAAAGAAGCCTCCATATCAATTCTCAAGCATATAAAATATCATGTTACTCAGGGAAAAAATAAAGTACCCGACTGTTGCCATTATATAGAGATTAATCCGTACCCTTTATGCCTGATAGTGTTAAAGATACTTTGACATTACCTAAGCCATAATAATATAAAAATATTTGTATCTATTTCTCTATTTCGACCCATGCCATGTGAAAGAAAAGTAAAGAAAATGAACTCAACTTTCTTTGTTGTATACCCTCATGCACGTAAGAGGTCAAAATTGACTTGGTTTGATAAACAAAAGATAGCTTCGTGATGTTGGCAAGTGATTGATCTTTACCATACATTAGAATCAAAGAAGATCTAAAGTTGCATATCAAAATATCTTGATGTCAAATATAATGAAAAGGGATAGGTTTATTTTTTCATTAACTATTGCCCAAGTTTGTTTTTGTCATTTAACTCTAAAACCAAAAAAACATTTGGCCACTGGACTATCAATACTGGAGTACTGGACAAACTTAGCCTTCTAGATGGTTTCAAATTTGGTTATATATTTTTTCTAAAAAATAATAAAACTAGGTTATTTTTTTAAAAATAACTAATTAATTTTGATTCTTTTCTATTTATTATTCCTATTCCTTGTTTGTTATTGCTAATAATCATGTTTGTTACTTATTTCAATCATTATTTTTGCACTATATTATATTGGAGATTGACAAGAAGAATCTACAACAGACTACGAGTAAACATAAGATAAGGGAATAGACACCAATCTTGTAGGTGACATGCTCCACTACATATAGATCATATTTAACCATTACAGCTACTATGGCATCATTAGCACTCCAAAAATTATTTGGAAAATTTAACTCTTACATATCCTGTACTCTAATTTCAGTATGTATTCTCTTGGTCAATCTCTAGGTTGGATATAGCAAAAAATTGTTATTTTGAATGATAGGCATGACTAAGCGCAATAAAACACTATGCACAACTACAATTCTAGAAATAAGTTTCAAATAACTCCATCCAGCGCCAACCAATAAACTATATTATAAGAAAAGATTGGTTCTGGTTTCATATTTTTTCTTTAAAATGAATTAGTTATATATGAATTTTTAGAAAACCAATCAGTTTTTGTTATTTTTTGGAAAAATACAAAACCACCTTTGTGCTTGATGATCCCGCTTGTTTGGTATTGGTAGTTCAGTGGTAAGAAGAAATTCGAAATTTAGAGCTATATATGGTAAAAAGTCAGACTCGAAAAACAGTTGAAAAGTTAAAAATGAACTTCTCCCGGTATAAAAAAAAGGCATAGGTGACTGTGAAAGTTGAAATAATTAAAGGAAATAAAAGATACTAACTGATACTGATACATGAGAACGGTCAATCTTTCCGTCCATATATATGGAAAATACAAACGCTCGCTCAGTGAACAAATGATGTGCACCTTCTGTCCCAAATTATATGTCGCTTGGCTTTTCTAGATATATAACATTTACTATGTATATAGATATACGATATATCTAAATATAATAACAACAACAAAACCTGTCAGCTCCAAACAAGTTGAGGGTAGGCATACGATATATTTAAATACATAATAAAATTTATATATCTAGAAATGTCAAAACTATCGATGAATTGGAACGGAAGGAGTACGTGGTAGAACCAAAACCATGCGGATGAGTCCTTAGTAATTAGCATGATGCGCACAGTAGAAAAAGCGAACAAGGGATACTGATACTGTGCTCCCACCGTCAGCTAACCCCTGCTTCCCGCGGCTGCTGACCTGCAGGAGTATCTGCGGCGGCGTGCACCGGCACCGACGCGGCCTTTGTCCGGGCCCCGACCGAAGCTGATGACCAAGATCAATATGGGAGGGCGACGGAGGGCTTGTTTACTTCGAAGTTTACTTTCGGTCTCATCGAATATTATATATATATATATATATATATATATATATATATAACTACTGTTTCGTAGCTGTTTATAAAATAATTTATTCTGTGGCCACTTTGAGTTACGATAATTACTAAGCTAATTTATAAGATTACGATAACTCCTTATTAAGTGATTTACTATAACGTTATGGTAAATATCATCGTGTGTTATAGTAACACAACTATCGTAAATATGTATTCACTTTATGATAAATTAGTATATAAAATTATCGTAAGTGGAGGTGGCTACAGAATAACTTATTCTATGGCCAGCTGCAAAATAGCCTTACCATATATATATATATATATATATATATATAGTATTAAATATAAATTAAAAAATAATTAATTACACAGTTTGTGAATAATTTACGAGATGAATCTTTTAAGCCTAATTAGTCCATGATTTTGATAATGTGGTGCTGCAGTACGCATGTGTTAATGATGGATTAATTAGTTTTAATAAATTCGTCTCGTGGATTATCGACGGATTCTGTAATTTATTTTTTTATTAGTATCCGAACACCTCCTATAACACTTTATATGACACCTCATTCATATGACACCTAAGTTTTGAGGTGTCACATCAGATATCATATGAAGTGTTTATAGGAGGTGTGATTTGCAAGAAAATAGACTCTATATCATACTCCCTACTTACAAACAACCAAATTGAAATAATGTAGTTTAATCAATTATTACTTTTAATCCAAAATAGAAAAAAAAACAATTGTACCCCAGGATACCACGTCACACCAAGACATGACACATCATCTTCTGTTTAGGGCCTATATGAATGCCCTTGAGATTTTGAAAATCATATTAAAAAAATCTATGAAATGGCCACCGATAGAGTTTATGGAAGCGGATGGTAATAATCTTATACGTGGATTCTTGCAATCTCTAAATCCGTCGGCCTAGCTTATTCTTCAGGATCCTTCCTCTGCGTTAAAAGATAAACATGCCCTTACTTATTCCCTTCCTCAAAAAGAGAAGGACAAGCTCCTCTCGCACCCCATCACGGCTGCTTGCTTGCCCACTCCCACCCCTATCGCCCTCTCACCGTTGCTACCACCCTCACGTAAGTTCACATCTTCCATCCGCCACTGCGTCTGCCATCACGCAGTAGAGCTGTGACCCTATAGGCTATACCTCCAAGAATCCCCTTGCGCTTGAGGAAATTCATACGGGTGTCGAGGCTGTTTGGTTGGCCGCCTCAGCTAGCCAA